GCAGGAACAACGGAGGCCAGAAGGCAATAGGATAACATTTTTAAAGCCCTGAAAGGAAAAAAAAAAAAACCTATTAATCAAAATCCTATACCAGTGAACGTATATTTCAAAAACAGAGGTGAAATAGACTTTCTCAGATAATCAGAAACTGAGGGAGGGACTTCACTCGTGGCACAGTGATTAAGAATCTGCCTGCCAATGCAGGGGACACGGGTTTGAGCCCTGGTCTGGGAAGATCCCACATACCGCAGAGCAGCTAAGCCCGTGCACCACAACTACTGAGCCTGCGCTCTGGAGCCCGCGAGCCACAACTACTGAGCCCACATGCTGCAACTACTGAAGCCCGCGTGCCTAGAGCCCGTGGTCCGCAACAAGAGAAGCCATCACAATGAGAAGCCCAAGCAGTGCAATGAAGAGTAGACCCCGCTCACTGCAACTAAAGAAAGCCCGCTCCCAGCAATGAAAACCCAACGCAGCCAAAAAATAAAGAAAAAAAAAAATATACTGAGCAAATTTGTTTCTGACAGATCCACATTACAAGAAATACTAAAAGAAGTTCTTCAAGGTAAAAGCAGGTGACCTCAGATGGTAATTTGAGTTCACACAATAAACAGAGGGCACCAATAAATGTCATTATGTAATTATAAAAGTCATAAGAGGGCCTCCCTGGTGGCGCAGTGGTTGAGAGTCCGCCTGCCGATGCAGGGGATGCGGGTTCGTGCCCCGGTCCGGGAGGGTCCCACATGCCGCGGAGCGGCTGGCCCGGTGAGCCATGGGCGCTGAGCTTGCGCATCCGGCAGCGGGAAGGGCCAGGACAGTGAGAGGCCCACATATCGCAAAAAAAAAAAAAAAAAAAAAGTCATAAGAGATGCATACTTTCTCCTTTTTTCTTTTAACCTGTTTAAAAATAAAATACGTTGTTAAGGCTATAATGTAATATATGTGTAATATATTTGTCAATAACAGTACAAAGGATATGTGTGTGAGAAAAGCTGCATTAGGCTAAGGAACTCATTACACATGACACAGAAATAATTATAGCAGTGTTTTGTTGGATTTGTAACATTAATTGATGTAATTTTATTGC